AGGCGACGGGTCTGTGACATGCAGGTTCAGGCGCTTCCAGGCGCATCTGTGCATGACGGTCGTGAGCGAGTTGAGCGTGAAGACCGAGGGGAGCTTTGTCTGAGTGCAAGCGGCACTGATGTCTTGGTTTCGTCGAATGCGATTTTGCGCGTTGCTAGGGGCAGGGTGAAACTGTCGGTTGGAGTACACCGCTCAGGCGTACAGCACTGCCTGCCGAGGACCGGGAGAGATATCGCGAGAGGGTTTGGGGGAGTGTAGACATTAGAAGATCGCGACACGGGTACCTGCGCATAACGTTGGGGCTGAAGGCTGTCACGCGCGGGTGCAACGTCGGCGCTGAATACGATGATACTCACACATGTCGCTCGCGCAACATCGCCGACTATGCGAAACATCGTGCTCGAATTCGCCAGAGTAGAAGACATGTCCCCGGGCTGCGCCACAGGTCCTGCGACGTTGATGAGAGACGTTGTTTAGACTGTGATACGCCCTCTGTAGATACAAAATGGTGTAGATGGATGTATGGTATATGTGAAGGCCTTGTGATCTGGAATCAGATACAATTTGCCCATTCGTACATCGACAGTGATGAATCATCCGATATGCGGAAAGTACTGCGACCAGCTCGGGACTTCGAAAGCGGAGGCCGGAAGATTAAATACGTCCAGGAAACATTCGACGATGAGAAACGTCCTACAGAAGATATAAAAGGGCCCAAAGCATACAAGAGACAACCAGCCGATTGGGTACCACAAGTAACGCTCAATGCGGGGATGCCTTTTAGGATCATCGAAAATTGGTAACAAACTCACCCAGATCAACCATGGAAGACCCGAGCAGAAAATAGCCAGGCTACTGATCTTCCAGAGTAGTTTGTCAGTCTCGCCGCGAAAAGGTCGGTCCCAAACAAGAAGATGAACGCCGCCATAGAAAAGACCCGCTATAGGGAACCCCAAAATGGGTGCAGCATCGTTCGCAGCCGATTTGAAATCAGCTACTTGAGGCCGGTTACGCAGACGTTCCTTGAGGTAGGTTTCTGTTGGGGATCTGCCAATGTGTAAACCGTATGTTCTAGCAGAATTTGAAGCTAATTTCAAGCACTGGAAGTGTTCTTCGGTGAGATACCGCCATAGCTCTGAGTTATTCCGCTTCCATGGGATAGCAAAACCATGGTATACGGCATAATCTGGACTCGGAAGCTGTGGATCCTTCGATCGCTTGAGTTTGATGTGTTCCAAACGAGGATGAGTAATCACATCTTCGGAGTCAGGCGCCGAGTCAAAATGTTCATCGTCGTCCATGTCCACTAGTGAGAATTTGACGCCTTTGATCTTTCGGGTGATAACTAAGAAAGCCATTACCGAGTGTATATCAACACTTGTGAGCATAGTCGGCTCTTCCACATCAAGAGGCTTGTGCCACCAGAAATGGAAATACATGATCAACGTGCATATGGCGTGCACAGCCGTGTTGATCTCGAGCAACGAGATAGAAAGGCCTTGAGCCGACCGTGTTGCACACTGTACGCAAAACCATACCGCTTGTCCGCATGTCACGAGCTTCGTGAACGCATTTGCCTTGCTCTTGTCCAATATCACAGATTCGGGTAGATCAGGGAGAAGATGAGGGGCATATGCGGCGATGTATTCGAGACCGTACAGTGTGAGTGTCATCCTCTGTCGCCCATCGGGAAGGTAGTTCAGACCCAGATCTCGAGTATCGACGACGAAGCCGCCCATAGTGGCATATAGGGAGTGCGCCTGTGTCCAAGGGTATCTCTTAGGTTTCGAATCAAGCTCCACACCGACAGGGTTCACATCCGCAGACCCAATATCCGCAAGCTCAACATCCTCCTGCTGGACAGGTTGCCTGGTTTGTTCGATGAGCCCTGTCTTGGTTTTAATCCAATCCACGTTATCAGAGAAGCATCGCAAGACGTGACTACATTTTGAATGTAACGCCCTGATGAGATTTGGGGATTCTGGCTGCTCGAAAGCTTTCCGCATTTTTTTGCCGAAGTAATTTGCGTCAAAATGCTGATCGTAGGCAGTGAAGACAACCTTGGATTCAATCAACGTTGGCTAACAGTGCGACAGAGTGATAAGACTCACCCATTCTGGAGCAAAGATTGCTATAATCATCCAGCCCAACTTTCGCCAAGTTTGCGGTGCGATTCGCCAGGTTTGCGCTTTCACCTCGTCCGTTTCATGCGCAGGGATGTTCAGGTGGACCGCCGTCCAGGCGCACAGGATCAATGTCAAAAGAGAAGACGAGAGTATGGAAAACGTGCCGCGCACCGAAGGTTCTGGCTTCCAGGTGTGGTATTGTGTACCGTTGGGTAAAGTCGTGTTCGCCATCTCGTCTACCGCCTTGTCCAAAGCTGAGTACAAGCTGCGTGCCCGCGATACGATGTGTGGGATCTTCTCTGTTTGCTTGATGTCGGACTCGGAGCGTCTTCTTTCTTGTGTTGGTCGAAGGCCGTGGTCAATTAGGGAAGATGGAAGTGAATCAGTTCGGTTTGCTATCGGTCAACCGCTTTTCAGCTGGCAAAAAAGGTGGCGGTTGTGACGTCGCAAGGTTGAGGCCCCACTCGCACCTGAAAGCGGACAGACATGCAGGTCGCGAGCTTCTCACTTGCTTATGGGATGGTGCCAAGCCTGATGGTCATAGGATAAAGATTTGCGGTGTCGCACAGCAGTTTGCGCCTCACAACCCGTAGACGAATGTGAGCCTATCGTCGCCCTCCCTACCAGCTCGCGCAGCCTTCTCAAGCCAATCCGCGAGCCACGCAAGCTTGGTATGCGACCGCGTCACATTGATGGCTTGCCTGAGCCATCGCTGTTGCTGCGGCACCGGGCCTCTGCCATGCAGCCTTTCGGCCTCGACGTCATCTTCGCTCCACTTGCGCAAGATGTTCTGCCGCGTCTCGTTCTCAGCCTTCAAGCGTCTCAGGAACAGCACATAGCCGAGAGCTGCTAACGCGACAGACGCAAGTGTCCACCAGAACGGAACGATGTAGCCACCCGCGGCATACTTTGGTCGGAACAGGATCGCTGAGATGACTCCAGCGAGGTTGCCCCAGCCATTGATACCAAGCAGCAATGCGCGCTTGCCGGGCGACGGCGTGTTGCCCGATATCCAGGCCACAGTGAGGGGAGATGCGACGTAGGTACCGGAGAGGAGAATGTTGAGAGCGATGTAGCGAGGTATTGCCCATGAGCTTGGCAACAGCACCACGATTACCAATCCGGCTACCATAATGAACAGGCCAAGCAGTATAGGCTTGAGGCGTATGCGATGTTTGTCGCTGTAGCTAGCTGCGAAGTACAGTACTATGGCTCCGCAGATATGTGGCGGTGCAGTAAGCAAGTTGATGAGCGCAGGATTCGCCTTCTTTGTCAAAGGTGCCAGTACAAGCGGGAGGAAGACAGAGAAGGCGTAGACTGGGATGGCAGATAGAACGTTACAGGCGAGGATATGCCATATCTTCGTGTTGAACACTGATGAAAGGACGTCGTGAGGGCTTAAACCACGATCGTCGACCAGCTGTCGCGATGGCGTGGCTGAGGAGATGGAGTGCTTGGACGAGTCGAGAAGACCGCGCGACTCCTCATCGTAGGTTTCTTCCGCTTCTCGATCGTCTTCTTGGACCGCTGCCGGCGCGTTCTGTATGTCTCTGTCTCTCACTACACGCGAAGACGCATATCGACGCTCTTCAGGTGTGAGGAACCATGCTGTCTCCACACTATGTGGCAGCCAGAAATAACCGATGAAGGCCACCACGATAGTGAGAGTGCCTTCCAGCAGAAACAGCACCTGCCATGGTCTCCAATCTTTGTCCGAACCTCCATCGTCGTTTCCGAAGTGGGAGAACACTAGGTAGCTTATAAGGCCCCCAAGCGCACCACCGACTGCCGCCTGGCCGTAGAAGAAGGAGAGCCGTCTGCCGAATTCGAAGCGCGTGTAGAAGAGGGAGAGGTAGGTGACGGTGACTGGGTAGAATCCGGCTAGAGACACTGTTAGCTTCGTTTCCGAAAATGGAAGCCACCGTCGAAGGAGGAAAGAGCGAGCGCGAGAGCAAGACCAAGCTCACATAGGCGACATACCTTCAAGACATCCGATGAGGATGCGCAGCGTGTACAACTGCCACCTATGTCTCACCCACGCATGCAACGCTGTGCAAACTCCCCAAAGAAGCATACAACTGGGCACCCAAAGCACCATGCCATACCTCCTCCCCAGCGCCGCACCAAGCGGCTGCAGCGCAACGAAGAAAGCGAAGAAGAGCGCAACAGCCGTATTCAGCGCGCCCTTGTCAAGTCCAATATCCGCCGTGAAATGCGCAGACTCTGCATTCCCAATCTACCATTCATTAGCAACTGCTCTGCCTCCAAAATGCACGTATACATACATTCGACTTATCCAGCGCATTGAACAGGAACAGCAACGCCAGAAACGGCAATAGTAAACAGTCCAGTTTCCTCAGCGTCCTCTTATGCAACCGCGCATCCACAGCGCATGTCTCCTCCAGCTCATCCGGCGGCATCGTGTCGTGTTCTGTCGCTGAGGCAGACGTAGCTGCAGTGAGCTCGTATAGCTGGTGCTCATGGTCGGCCATATTGTCGGGCGCCAAGAGCGAGCCCACGCGCATGCATCACAGGGTCTGCGACTTCGGATGACCTCGGTCGGTGTCGCGGGCAGTAACGGGTTTGGGTAAGTGGGAAGGGGTCAGAGTCAACAGAGTGATGCATGATGGAATGTTGTGGAAATGTCAGATGAAGGTACGGAAGATTAGATGGGCGGTTGAGCTATTGTTTTGGACCCTGAGGGCATGACGTTGTTGATTGGAAGGTTCATGGGGGTGCTGGGATTGGCGCTGGAGTGGGAAGGCGCCGAAGGTGGCTTATCGATTACCACCGAGATTGAAGACTATCGTTTTGGGTACTCTCATGACTTTCTAACGTGACACAATGACATTCGACGCATCACATATCCTTCGTCTATTGCGCCATCTCCTCTTCTCTCTTTCCAAACGCCTTAACAGCCTCGTAGTACAAGGTAGCAGTAGCTTCACACGGTCCCTTTGCCTTCTCAGTCGCACACTGGTTGAACATGTCCGTCTTGAAGTTACTGTCGGTACGCGCCTTCATCGCATCGAAGCGGCCTTGTTGTTTGTAGTTGCGGTAGCCGAAGTCGTGGCGGTAGCAGGAGTTGATGACTGCAATTATCAGTGTTGTGTACTCAGTATATGAGGAGCTTGGAGAACATGGAATGTGAAGAAATGTATTAAAGGTCACTTACAGTCAAATCCAAACGGGTTATCCGGACTAGCAGTGCATCCATTGCTCTCCCAGTTTAGCTCTGGAGGGCCGACCTTTCCGTTACGGTTGGCGATGAACTCCGCGATGGAAATGTCGAACATGTAGGTATCGGTAACCTGTTCGAGAGATGCCTGGCGTTCGACGAGTTGTGCAGGCGCAGAGACAGCGAGAGATGCAAAGCCCAGGAGGGCGGTGATGATGGTGGACTTCATGGTGAGTAGACTTGGTTGAACCGTTCAGGATAGAAGTCGACGTATATGTCGTTAAGCTAAGCTACACTGCCTCACTTTATACTACGTACACCACGATGCGTAATGTCCCGATGTTTACGCCGCGGGGTCTTCCCGGTCTTGGGCGTTTGCGCCATTATGGGTACCTGCATGTGTGCTTCGGAGCAGATCACTTGCATATGGAATGAAGCACTTCGTCGAAATAGGCCCTTATGTGCTGGAAGCGTTGTAATAGGTATGGAAACAGCATGCAAAAGGACGGAAGAATGTATGCGCATGCCAGATCTGTCAAAACTGTCCGTTGTCACGGTCTTATGTCGGACTTGCCAAGAGGCATGTAAGCAGGTGATCCGAGGCAGCCTCTTCAGCCGCGCTATCACGACCGCAGTTGCTGCGCATGTTGTTGATCGGTATTTAATGGAGGGTAGTGTGAGGAAAGGCCGGAAGGTCAAGAGTGAAGAAAGCGTTTGTAGTGCAGTGATGATGAGAAGGAAGGCAAGACTCAAAATTGATTCTACGCAAAGGCGAGGCAGACACTCCAGGTGGATCTGAGTACTATCATGTCTGATATCAATATCCGGCTTCTGCAGTAGCAGGTCTCGTCAAATTTAAGGGGACCTTGTTAGAAGTAGCTGGTTACGCATCAGAGCTTGCAGGTCGATTAATGGTTGTGTGCCGACGAAAGGCGCTTTCGAAATGCCGTTCGAGAACCGGTCATATGATGCTGTTGCCGTGGGCGTAGATCGTACAGATTGACTGTTTGAGGAGTACTGAAGTCTGAACCCTTGAGCTTGGTCAGTTGAAGAGATGCCCCACATGTTCGCTCTTCACTGGTTTGATGAACACGGCTACCGTTCACTGATGCGGGGTTGTCGCTCTGAACATACTCGGCCCTCTCTGCAACTACTCTATCTCATGCGTCTTTCCTCGTAGTATCGTAAGCGAACCCGGGATATCGTTTGAACATCAGAAATGCCCTGTAGTCATCACTCCACAAATCACCACCATCTTCGTGCAATGCCATTGAATTGTCTATGAGCATATTCCCACTACTTATACAGTGTCATCCGCTCTTTCTGGTCCTTCCAGTTCCTCGCTTACAACTTGCTGATGAAGAGACGGGCAGCGAACATGCGCAGACGCTGGGGGAGGATGTACTTGGAGAAGATGTAGATGAGCGATGGCAGGAGGATGAAGGCCACGGTGGTCTCGTTGACGAAGAAGAAGGGGATGAGCTGGGGCATGGCCGACTTGAGGATAGTCTATGACTTGTATTAGTTTCCTTCCTTCCTTCCAGATGTTTCCCAGAGTCCAATCTCACCATCTGCTGAGGGCCAACCTCTGTCTTCTTGTTCTGGCTCGCGATGAAGGCGGGGCGCGCCAGAGCGGAGGGGCGGACGGCCATGGGCGCGCGGGCAGCGGCGGCCCTGGAGAAGGGGCGGAGGAAGCGGGCGGCGTTCATGATGGGCTATCTGGAGTTCTGCGGGTCAGCGCGCTGCTGTGGGGGTCCAATTGGCGGGGCTGAGCCTGCGAGACGGGGAATTGACGCACTGGACGCGATGGTCGAAGCCTGGGGAGATGAGAGGAGATGGTGTTGCGGTCGCGGGAGTTTCGGTGGTGTTGCTATCGTTGTCCGCAAAAGCTCGCACAGCTGCGATCCCGGAAGTTGCCGCGTCCGTGCGTTGGCTTGGCGCTGCCTTCCCTCCCAACTCCGCACTTCCCCACGACTACTCATCTGTATCACACATTGCGTCTTTGAAAGTTCTTGAGACTCCTACAATGCCGCCTCCACCCAGCGCATCCCCTTTCACGATGGCCTTTGCTCATGTTCTGGAACGCCCCTGCTGCACGCCGCCGGACTGCCTCACACTAGAATTTAAGGTTTGCACAGTACTCCAAACATGATGATTGGTGTAGACAATGTCGGATCTCTTATCCGCATGGATATCACAGACCTCTACAGCTTCATTTCTGGTTCTATTTTACATGACGAAATGAGCTAGTGTTGGCTCTTCCCTTCAACCGTGTCAAGTGCGGGGGGCCTCATCTTCCAACGTATGTAAAGATGAAGCTTACTGCACTCGTGTGACATTTCCTCACCTGCCCTTGATTCCAAAAACGCCAACATGGCCATCGAGAAGATCATGATATTAGGAGTAAGACGCGGGATGGGCTGACTGGTATCGAATGGCTAACTTGCGCAGAACTGGGAGCTTTGCCTCACCATCCTCAACGCCCTCTTCCCACAGGAAAAACGACAGGGGACTCCCAGATATCAAGTTACCGTACTCACTTATCTTTCACAAACCCTCAGCCTGCCACCTCACGTCAAGGCCTCCGATGTACAGCACAAGAGATCCGGCTACTCGTCCGCTTCACTGCAATCAGTAATGACTGGACAAGACTTGGTTATAAGCACAATGTCAGGCGGAGATGCAGAGCAACAGATACGCATAATAAATGCCGCCATCGCCGCAGGGGTTAGGCGCTTCATCCCTGATGAATTCAGTCACGACAGCATGAACAAGCAGATACAGGCGCGCATTCCGAAAGATGCCGGCCGAGCAAAGGTCATTGCTCATCTGAGGAGCATGCGGGAGGATTACCCATATTTCGAATGGACTGCGATTGCGACAGGGTATACGCTGGATACCCAACTCATCAGCGGCAACATGGGGTTCGACCTCGAATGGCACAGCGCGACTATCCACGGCATCGGTACTGAAGCTTTCGCAGCTTCCAGCTTGGAGCGAGTCGGGCGAGTCGTGGAACGCGTCATCTCACACTGGGATCAAGTCAGGAACCAGTACATATACGCTGCAGGCGTCATAACGTCCGCCAACGAGGTCCTGAGATCTACTGAAAAGACGACTGGCCGTGAGTTTACCGTCGGAAATCACGATGTTCAAGAGTGTGTTGCAGAGGGAGAGAAGAGAATAGAGAAAGGATTCCCCGACTCCGGCATGTTTCTGCTCGAGCGCAGCGTGCTGTATGACGAACAACTGGACGCATCAAAACCTTTCAGGAATCGCAACTCGAACTATGTACTAGGACTCAAATCAGAGTCGGTCGAGGCTATCGTTAGAACCGCCTACGATGACTTCAAACACTACGGCAAACCCGGATGCGGATGCTCAGCTTGATACCCCACTTAACGCCATACCTCTATACCATAACATCGCTCTCACGCCTAATTCTACCTCATCTCACTTACCTCGCACCGCCTTCCCAATCTGCAGCCCTCCCCCGCAAGATCCGCATATCCCGCATAATCTCCCATCTCCACACCCACTCCCTACCCGTCCTCTTTCCCGGAGCGGCAGACAAACGGTCCTTCATATAACTCAAAAGCCACCCTTACCGATCAGCAACGATGTCGTGCATACACCCGGATAACGCCACGTCGTAGATCCCGTTCGGCATCGCTTGGACCCTGAGTTCGACCCAGCCTCAGGATACGAGGCTAGGATTGCGGGATTGCGGGATACGCGGGATACGAGAGCGCATGGCGGGCCATTGTGAAGGACGTTGCGCATGAGTAATTTCCTGGATGTTAATAAAGTTCGAGGAAGTGTGGATTTCGGAGGATGAGGACTGGACTTGGACGGCGTTGTTCGTGATGGGAGGCGCAAAGCGCGCGTAGCCTTTACGATACCGCTTAGGAAGCGTGGATTGTCACGATCAAACCTCACTCATACTAGAGCTATCCTATGCCCCCCACCTATTTTTGACCAACTTTCTTCTCCACTTCTCCTACCACCCACTGTCCCTCCCACACGTATCCCTCCCCCTCCCCTCCCCACCCACCAGCCGACGACGCCCGAAAACCTCGGTCAAAACTCCCAACATGTGTCCATACCCAGCCCACACGGCCTCATCCACGTTACACAGCCTCGTCACAGCCTCAGTTTCGGGCTGCAGGATCTGAGACCCAACGGCAAAAAGGCTGAAACACCGTATGTGGCGGGGGCGTTATTTGGGTCTGACCGGCAAATGTTGACGGTGAGGCTGGTTGCTGGGTGAGTAGAATGGAGTGGAGGGGATAGAGGGGATGTGAGAGGTGGATGTTGTGGTGGTTGTGGTTGTGGTTTTGGTGTTTGGGTGAGTTGGTGATTGTTTGAGGTGGCAGTGCGGGAAAAACACAGTGGTGTCGGATGTGGCTGAGCGTTGGGCATTCTTTTTGCTTGTTCCCGCACCGCTCGCTGCAAGCCCAGTCGACCAAACCAACGGTCTTTTTATTTTCCCAAGCACGTTTGCTCAACAGGTTTCTATTTTCCCATCATCCAAATATAGCCCATCCAATTCAACACTTTCCAAGTCAAGACTGTAAAACTTTTCAACGCTTGGTTCAATGGTATTGCAACACAACATTCTGCAGGAGAAAACAAGTCTATAAACGTTTTTGCGCTGCGCAAAGTAAAAAAAAAAAGGTCGGGACTAAACTACGTTCTACCTACGTTGGTTGGCAAAGTAAAGGGAGGTGGGGATATCGCTGGTGTGTGTGACAGTGTGACATGTCGAGGGATAGAGATGATGACAGAAAGGCTGCTATGCTACTACTGAAAATGCTGGGAGTCGTGCCTTCGTGAATGCCGAGATAGATGAGTGTGACGCTGCTGCGGGAATGGGAACGCTATAAACAAGAACGCTGGAAAAGGGGTGTAAAAGTCGCGGTGACTTCTGCAATAGGACGCAAGATTAGACGCGAAAAGGAGGAAGTTCAGATGTCCGTACCACGCCCACCCGTGCGATAGTCTTTTTGTTGCTACCCCTCCGTTGAAGTACCGTAAAGCCGGTGACGCCGAGAGAAACCCAGGACACAATTGTTGCTTGTGGAAGAAAGTCTAGAGGACGAAAAGTTGACTCATATCATGCTCGCGATCGAGTTGAGTGCCGTGGTAGTCGTCCGTATACCCACAAGCTCGGGTTCACTGACTTGATGCGAGAGGTTTGGCGAATGCGAGTACTGGTGGCCGGAGAAG